CATGTCTGAACCTAATTATGTTGTGATTGAGTATATTGTTTTTGATATAGGTGACATTTCTTATCAGATCAATCATTGTTAGTGAAGTTTGAGGTCTAGTGTATTCTCCAGTCTAGTAGGCTCTATTATTTGCTGGTTTAAATTGAATTTTGTGCAGAGATTTAAAAGCCTGTTGTGAGTGTGAGTTTTCATCAGGGGCTGCCTCCTGGTGTTATTACTGCAACAATATTATTTGCTATATTCCTCCATTTTAGGTGCCTTAAGTTGAAATCCCCCAGGAGCAAGATGTTGGGTGAGGAGCTGGAAATTTTTCCAGGGCAGTGGTCAATTTTTAAAAGCTGTTCCTGGAATTGCTGGGATGTTGCATCCGGAGGCTTGTAGACTACCACAATGACTAGGTTTTGGTTCTCGACCTTTACTGCTAAAACTTCCACTACGTCATTTGAGGCATTAAGCAGTTCTGTGCAAACAAGTGACTCTGCAATGTACAGGCCAACCCCCCCCCTTTTGCCTGTTCACTCTGTCACATCTGTATAGGTTGTAACCTGGGATCCATATTTCGTTGTCCAAGTGATCCTTTATGTGGGTCTCAGTGAAAGCCGTGAACATTGCTTTTGCCTCTGCAAGCAGTCCACGGATGAAAGGTATAGTAATACATATAAAATAACATTTTTACTTACCTTTATTGAAGATTGGTGATGGCATCTGGAAGATAGGGAGGAGGAGAGAGGGGAGTTGGGGTTAGTGTTTGGAAGGAGAATCCCCCTCCATGAGGACTTCAGGTAAAGCCCTCTCTGGGGTTACTTCCCTTCTCTGTCTTTTAATGCCACTAGGACCAGCTTGAGAGTCACTGGACCCCTGTCTCACAAAATAACTGTCCACAGTCCTCTGTTTCTGGCGCCTCTTTAACATTTCCTTAAAATGGGACATGGTTCTGTCACTGAACTTGTTGCAAAGATGGCTTGTTTCAGCTTGCTCAGGGTGGTACTTCTGCACAAACATTTGGACGTCATTCCACGTGACACAAATCTCCTTAATCTTTGAAGAAGGCACCTCATCCACTCCCTCTTCCTCCTCCTCTGAAGCAAGTTCCTCAGCTGTGGTCTGATACTGCTCCAGATGAAGCTCTTGCAGCTCTTCAGTGGTGAGCTCTTCCCTGTGGTCCTCCACCAACTCTTCCACATCCTCACCACTCACCTCCAACCCCAGGGTGTTCCCCAATGCCACAATAGAGTCCACAACAGGCAGAGGGTGAGCTGGGTCAGGGTCAGCCTCAAACCCTTCAAAATCCCTCTTTTGGACACAATCTAGCCACAGTTGTCTCCAAGCAGAGTTCAAAGTCCTGGAAGTCACTCCCTCCCAAGCCTTACCTATAAGGCTTATGGAGCTGTAGATGTTGAAGTGATTCCTCCAGAACTCTCTTAGGGTCAACTTAGTGTCTGTGGTCACTTCAAAGCACTTTTCAAACACTGCTTTTGTGTAGAGTTTTTTGAAGTTAGAAATGACCTGCTGGTCCATGGGCTGGAGGAGAGGAGTGGTGTTAGGAGGCAAGAACTTCACTTTTATAAAACTGAAGTCCTTAGACAAGAGGTCTAATAAGTTTGGAGGATGATCAGGAGCATTGTCCATTAACAGGAGGCACTTGAGTGGCAATTTCTTTTCCTGGAGGTATTTTTTCACACTGGGGCCAAACACTTCATAGACCCACTCTTTGAAAATTTGTTTTGTGACCCATGCCTTATGATTAGCTTTCCACAAGACACACAACGTGTTCTTAAAGACATTGTTTTTCTTAAAAACACTGGGATTTTCTGAATGATACACAAGTAAAGGCTTCACTTTAAAATCACCACTAGCATTAGCACAGAACAAAAGAGTAAGCCTGTCTTTCATAGGCTTGTCTTTCATAGCCTGTCTTTCATAGGCTGTGAGCAGTAAATTTTGGCCTAGATATGAGAGAATGGCTGTGTGGCGAGTGTGCACAGTATATAAAAAGTCCTGCCTCACGGGGTACATGATGGGGAAAAGCAAAACTAATCTTGTGTTGATTTAAAATAGTGACTTTGTGGTGCTTTCTAGGATGGTTTTTTATGGCTGTTTCTTGGTATCATATGATAGAATAGATATATTACTGAACTAAAGATGATTTTGGTTGATTTCAGGACCGGAAGTAACTTGAAAGTGGGTTCAAAACAGCAGAAATATTTGAGTTTTGCTATGTTTTAGTACCAGGAATGTTTGCATTGTTTATTTTCTATTCTGTTTTAAATTCAGTTTTTAATAATTTTGTGTAAAACTGCCCAAATTGAGTTCTGGGCACTTTATAGGATAGTTTTGATAGTTGAATGGGTGGTTTTTTTGTGCTCAGTTATAAGAATGCAATGCATACTAGCTAAATAGCTAAGAATTTGGATGAATGGAGAAATATAATTGGCTTAGAATAGTACTGAGAGTGGGCAGAATCACCATTTAGCAAATTGTGCCCAGATTTCTATCTTTGCATATGTGTAATTCCATAAGTTTTCCCTCAAATTTTATTTCCCTTGTGAAAGGTCATTACCTTCAGAAAAAAATTCTTTACCATTTCAAACTTTCCTTTTTAATTAAATGTGGAGACTGAGAGCAATGTTAATTTCTGGGGGGTAGACAGTGTTATATAGTGGAGAGAGCAGGTGAGCAGTAGCAAGAGTGGGGAAGGCTGGTGGTGTGCCAGGTTGCAGTAACGAATATATGAAGCACTGCAGCAGGTTTACTGACCCATCCTAGGCAGGTCCTTTTCAACTCCAACCCATCTCACTTATAAATTTGTTGCAATTACCGGTCAACCATCACTAATTCGGCATCATCGGGACCTATAGGGTGCCGGATTAGTGATTTTGCTGAATTACAGTGTGGTTAGGTTAGAATGCACTTAAACCAGCGGTGATATTTATGCATCGGCAATATCACCCACTTCACACTCTATTTTTGACCCATTCCATTGTTCCAGTCTACGAAACTGGTAGCTATTTTGCGAGTATTCCCTACATTCTGTTGATTGAGTAAAAGAAACTGCCCATTTACCTATTTCAGCTTCCCAATGAAGTGGTCAGAAATTGGCAATTTGGCCAGTTTCACACAAATTTCAGGTGATGCCAACTTAAAAATAGGGTCTAGAATTAATAACGGAGGCATTCCTAGCACTAAAATAACATTTTCTCTGTTCATTAGTCACATCTCCAGGACCCCTCTTATATTATGTTTCCTTTCCATTTTGAATTTTTATTCACTCAAAAAATAGAAGATTTACTATTATGCAGACTACTGCATTATTTTAATAATTGTATAAATAATATCAGCCCATTCATAACTGCGTGTTAGACTGGCCAGTTGGACGTGTATTGGACGGGGATGTCATTTGAACATCGTCAAAAATCAAACATTTCCACTACTTTTAAGGTACTTTCTGGTGTGAAACCAATCAAAATCCTATCTATTTTTGTAATATATCTTCCATTTTGTCAGACAAGACAAAAAAATTGAGAATATAACCATGCAAACCATACAAAGATACACCGCAAATTTGCTGTTTTGCACCAAAAACATGGTCTCTGTTTTTTCTCATTATGCACTGTGTGCTGCAGGATTTTTTTTTATATAGTGCACACATACCAAACAGACCTATTCTCTCATATGTTGGCCCAGTCACATCTTATCTGAGTGAGCTGAGCTCATGGCAACCGACAGCGGCCTCAAAGCCACCTTATCTTTTATGGACAATGTACTGTGTATGTGCTTTACACAATGAGAAGCATTTCTTTTATTTTATTAGAACCATAGCTTCGGCTAAAAGTGAACAGGTTATAACAATAAGTGGAGAAAAAAGAAACTGGAATGACTTATGCAGCAAGTAACGCCCAAACAGTACCAGCAGGTTGGTGTGGTGACCCTGGAAAATTGAAATTATGTTAGCTGAAATTAGTGTTGGATTACTGATGGAACCAGATTACTGATGGAACCGGATTACAGATTGCTGGATTAGTGATGGCCAACGTGTATTACCATTCCATATACATGTAGTGCTGTACCTATCGTTTTTTTTTTTTTTTTTTAACAAGTTGGCCATCTCCCACCGAGGCAGGGTGACCCAAAAAAGAAAGTCCCCAAAATGAAAATACTTTCATCATCATTCAACACTTTCACCTCACTCACACATAATCACTGTTTTTGTAGAGGTGCTCAGAACACAACAGCTTAGAAGCATATACCTATAAAGATACACAACATATCCCTCCAAACTGCTAATATCCCGAACCCCTCCTTTAGAGTGCAGGCATTGTACTTCCCATTTCCAGGACTCAAGTCCGGCTATATAAAAATCATATCATTCCTATATATTTTATCTCACCTATGTATTTCTTACATGGATCAGTTCCATTACATCACTTCTGTCATGCCAGATTATTCATTGCTTGAACAAAGATGAAAATCATGGAGAAAAGCTTAGTTTCTCCAGGCTATGCTTGATCAGCCAGGTTGTTAGAACTGTAGGCTTGGTAACCACAAGCATCAATAACCTGGATGATCAGTCACCTTTGATTCCTGGCCTCAAGCTAGGCTGTAATCTGAGTAGAACAGCTCTAAATTTAGATTCAGATTTACACAACTAACAGCACATAGGAGAGAGGTGCTTACAACAATGTTTTGGTCCGACTTGGACCATTCACAAAGTCACTAACAAAAAGGAGAGAAGGGGGGATTATATATAGGCCAGCAGACAGGGCCTATATATTCTCCCTCTTTCTCTCCTTTTTGTTAGTGTGACTTTGTGAATGGTCCAAGTCGGACTGAAATGTCGTCGTAAGCTTCTCTCTCCTACGTGTGGGTTATTTGTGTATTGTTCCAGTCATGGTACTGTGCCCTTTTGTTATTTTAGATACAGATAGACAAGTAAATTAAAGCCCTTTTAGTCAGTAATGTATTACAGTTAGTATAACTGCTTTTCCCCTCTTACGTTTAAGGTGGCAGCGCGCACTCTGGGTGACTTAGTTCGTAAACTAGGTGAGCGTGTGCTACCAGAAATCATACCCATCTTAGAGGCCGGCTTGGGATCACCTGAGGCTGACCAGAGACAGGGTGTGTGTATTGGTCTCTCTGAGATAATGGCCTCAACCAGCAAGGATATGGTTCTTTGTTTTGCTGACAATCTTGTTCCTACTGTGAGGTAAGATGAACAACAAATATTTTACATTGTGATAAAATATTTAAATGTGGTTATTAAGTACTAAACCTGAGAATTTTTGTAGCAGTGTTCAGTCATTATGTGAATGAAATTCAGGGACAACCAATACTGTTTTTAGGCAGAGGTTAGTATTTTCACTACTGTGAATTCCTTGTTGCTGTGGAATTTTTCTAAATTAGTATCTTTACTGCAGCTTGCAATTTTGCGCTGTTATTGATGTTATTCTACAGAAATTTGTTAAATTTTTTTTTTTTTTTTGTGGATGCCACAATAACTACTGGACATGTGCTTCCAGTGCTGCACTTGTGGGGGCTAAGGTTTCTTTTGTGAGAGACAACAATGTCACACTGAAAATAAGAAAGTGGTTTGAAGATTAGCACTGAGGGATTGCAGAAAAAATGAAAACCCTCTGATTTAATTTTTTTTTTTTTGTATTTTGATCAGACGGGCTCTGTGTGATCCTCTGTCTTCTGTACGTGAAGCTGCTGCTCAGACATTTGACTCGCTACATAATACAGTGGGCTTCAGAGCCTTGGAAGATATTTTGCCGCCCCTTCTGGCAGAGCTGGAAAACCAAGATGAAAGGAGAGAATTTGCCTTGGATGGTCTCAAGCAAGTCATGGCCATCAAGAGTAGGGTTGTCTTGCCCTATCTGGTTCCTCAGGTATTGTTTTCCTAACATTTAAATTGTTTTTTAACATTTACCATGTACAGTAGTATTAATTTATATCATTTTATTGGATAATGTTTGATGAACATTTAACAATTACAGTCCAGTATATTCATTATCCAGTTAATTTTATTGTGTGTACAAGCTTTTTCTTTCATTGCTGGGAACAGTGTTCACACTACAACTAACATCACATCAGTTCTCACCATTATTATTTCCTGCTCTACCACATCACAACCTACACTACACATGACAACTTTCACTACACATGACAAGCTGCACTACACATGACAACCTGCACTACACATGACAACCTGCACTACACATGACAAGCTACACTACATGTCACAACCTTCACTACACATGACAAACTACACTACACATCACAGCCCTCATTCATCACCTCCCTGCAGTGCTGTATAATACAAGTTTTAATGTTAATTTGATTATAATTATAATAATTGGACAATCTCTCAAATTTCAGCTTAGATTTTTTTTAACATTGGCCATCTCCAACTTAGGCAGGGTGTCCCAAAAAGAAATGCTTTCACCAGCATTCACACTATCACTGTCTTGTTAGAGGTGCATCGATGTGTCAGTTCAGATGTTCCTCCAAGCTACAAATATCTTTAGCCCTCTTGTAATGTGCAGGCACAGTACTTCCCACCTTCAGTACTCAAGTCCAGCTAACCAGTCTCTCTGAATCCCTTCACATATTGTTACCTTGCTCACACTTCAACAGCTCGCCAAGTACCAAAAACCATTTCCCTCCACTCCTATCTAACACGCTCACACATGCCTGCTGTATATCCATGCCCCTTGCACACAACCTTCTTGACCCCCTCCCCTTCCCTCACACCTTTCCTAGGACAACCCCTGCCCCCGCAACCCTCCCTTCACTGCAGATTTATGTGCCCCCGCAAGTCATCCTATTTCGCTCCATCCTCTCTCAATGTCCACATCACCTCAACAACCCTTCAGCTTTCTGGATAATACTTTAGTAACTCCTCACCTCCTAATTTCCAAACTACGAATTCTCTGCACAATATTTAAACCACACATTGCCCTCAGACATGACCTCCAGCATCCTCCTCCTTGTTGCAACATTCACCACCCATGCTTTACACCCAAATAAGAGCATTGGTACCACTGCATTTTCATACATTACCCTCTTTACTTCTATGGATACCATTCTTTGTCTCCACAGACTCCTCAGTTCTATGGTTCACCTTGCCTTTTATAGATCCATCTGCTGACAAGTCCACTTTAAAATATCTCTGAACACATTCAATTCCTCCATACTCCCTCCACTCTGATATCCAGTCTTTCATAACCTAATTCATTTGTTACCCTCATCACCTTGCATTTTCCTATGTTCACTTTCAACTTCCTTCATTTACACACCCTCTTAAATTCATCCATTAACCTTTTCTTCAGAATCTCCCCAAAAATATTGTCATACACAAAATATTAATGCACTCGGTGAAAAATGTAACATGGAAAATGTAATACGGTTCTTCTTTAAGTGATGTGAGTTCTCTGCTATGCATTGTACTATAATAATAATCTACAACAATAATCTGTCTACCTGGAGGGAGTTCAGGGGTCAACACCCCCATGACTTGTTCCATGACCAGGCCTCGCGGTGGATCTGGGCCTAATCTTTGAGTCTGTAACTGCTGGCCGCATGCAATCCAACATATGAACCACAGTCCGGTTGGTCCGGCACTGACTTCAGGTATCTGTCTAGTTCCTTCTTGAAGACAGCCAGTGGTCTGTTAGTAATCCCTCTTATGTATGCTGGGAGGCTGTCGAATAGCCTTGGGCCCCTGACACTTATTGTGTTCTCTTAGTGTACTCACAGCACTTCTGTTTTTCATTGGGGGATGTTGCACTATCTGCCAAGTGTTTTGCTTTCATAGGGAGTGATTTCTATGTGCACATTAGAGACCAGTCCCTCTAGGATTTTTCTGGTGTAAACTCTGATGTACCTTTTTCACCTGTACTCCAAGGAGTACAGGTCAGTGGACTTCAAACAGTCCCAGTAATTGAGGCCCTTTACTATACTTATACATGCAGTAAAGGTCCTCTCTACATTCTTCACATCTGCAATTTTTGCCTGCCTTCAAAGGGGCTATTAGTGTACAGCTTTATCCCAGTATTACCATCAGAGGTATTCTTTGTTTTCAAAGTTCTCATTATCCATCTTATCATTTTCCTTGCGGTTGTGATAATGACACTGTTGTGGTCCTTAAAGGTGAGATCCTCTATAACTCCTAAGTCCTTCACATTAGTTTTAATTCCTCAAATTTTCCATAACGGAGTAACTGGAAATTGTCCTCAATGAACATTATATTGTTTTGTGCGGCCTATCGGAAGACTTTGTTTGCTTGAAGATTTACAGTGTCTTGTGCGGAAGATACTCTCATGCAAATTCTTGCACCATCTACAAAGGAAGACACGGTGCATAGTTTACCCCTTCCCCTTGTTAATATGAAGATGAGGAAAAGATTGGGGGTGGTACTGTACCTTGTGAAACAACTTTTCACTGTGGCAGCCTCCAACTTAACCCACTTTCCCAGTTAGTCCTTAAGCATGCATTTTGTGCACAGTTACACCATGATTGCACTAATCATATGCTGTGTTCACTACATCTGCATTCTGCTTGTACACTGCATCTAAGATCATGTATGTGGCCCAGAGTTGAGGGGCAGGAAAATTTGGGCCCCTAAACTATGTACCCGGGGTTGTGCAATCCAAGGGGTTTGGGTGTCTTGCTTCTTAAAACCCCTTTCAAAGTTTTTTCATGAATTGGACATTAGGGATATTGGTCTGGCAGCAGGGCTGGGCGGGCCGATATATTCCTCTGTACGACAGTTGACTGGAGAGCTCTCACATCACTCAGGCAGCATCACTTTGAGTTACCCGCCCCATCAGCAACACATGCTGATTTAAATTACTGTTTTATAGTCCTGGACAATAAAGCAATACTTTGTCAGTTAAAAAAGCAATAGCTTCATTAAAGACATAGCCCCACTCGGGCCCCTGAGCTCTTTTTGGTCAGAGTCCCTTAAAAAACTTTTTGGTCAGGGCCCTTTACACTTTGCTGGTCAGGGCCTTTGAGCACTTTGCTGGCCAGGGCCCTTGAGCACTTTGCTGATCAGGGGCCTTGAGCACTTTGCTGATCAGGGGCCCTGAACACTTTGCAGGTCACTGTGGGATTTTTCAATGGTAAATGCATTAAAGACTATGAAAGGGCACTTAACTTATTGTTTAACAGCTCGGAACCCAGCAGCCGCATTCTGGGGATTTCCTCCGATCTTGGCTATCTTGGTGCCCACGGAGCTGTGATGGGGCGATTTAACCTGGGTTAACACTCGCCCTGAAGACCAGTATTTTACACTTATTTCATGTATGTCACCTGGAAAGTCTTGGGCGAATCGTACCTGGGTTTGGGCAGTCGTCCACATGTCATGGTGTCTTCGGGTTAGCCCTATCAATTCTCACATAAGAACCTGTCAGCTGCAGCTAACACAGTCAGATACGAGTATGGGAGGACTTACCTGGGTGTGTGTATCATGCCCAAATTTGTGGTGACACCAAGAATGATGGCTTGACTGAAGGGAGAATGAGTCTACTGTTGATTGAAGGTAGGATGGATCCACTCTTCCTTGGAACAAAATAGAAATGATTAGTCACATGGAATGTTTGTTGGACACTCGTGTTCTAGTGTCCAACGAATATTCCATGTGACTAATCATTTCTTGTTAACTAAATTCAAGATTGGGTACTACAAGTTGTTTCAACATAACTCGAATGCTTTCACTTGTTCATGAGTTCAACTTGAGAACTATATCCGAGGATAATGTCCATGGTAGGGAGAATGTTAGCAGTACTTCATTTTGCAAAGACAATTAAGATAGTTTTGGCATTGTAACTTTGCCCCAGTTCTCCTCAATGATCGAACATGAAAAAGTGACATGGAGACTCGCGATTTGACCACTAATTTATGAATGTGATTGGACGTAGCTTCTGCCATTGGATTTCACTCACTTGTCAATCTGGCAAGAGTCTTGCTGACTAGAAGTCTAGTACTAGCGTGCTCTTACCATCGTGCAGGCCCCTTATATGAGTGAAATAATGCTGCTGTAATGTCTGTAAAGCATGGGTGCCGACTATCACTACATGATTGTGTCAGGCAACTGATTTCTCTTGTCCTGATGCATTCCATGTTAAATGAGACTTACTAGCTAACTGAACACAGTAAGACCTTATGTATATGTATTTTTAAGATGTCTTTAACCCTTTCAGGGTTTCAGTCATACTAGTACGGCTTATGCCCCAGAGTTTTTGACGTACTAGTACGCCTAAATTCTAGCGCCCTCAAATCTAGTGAGAGAAAGCTGGTAGGCCTACATATGAAAGAATGGGTCTATGTGGTCAGTGTGCGCAGTATAAAAAAAATCCTGCAGCACACAGTGCGTAATGAGAAAAAAATACTTTGACCGTGTTTTTGGATTAAAACAGCGACTTTGCACTGTATTCTCATGTGGTATTTATTGTTGTATTCTAGTTTCCTGGTCTCATTTTATAGAATAGAAGATATATTACAGAAATTGAGATAATTTTGACTGGTTTTACAATGAGAAGTACAGTGGACCCCCGCATACCGATGGCATCACATAACGATTAATCCACATACCGCTTGCTTTAATCGCAAAAATTTTGCCTCGCATACCGCTTAAAAACCCGCTCACCGATTTTCGTCCGAGACGCGTCCAATGTGCGGCCTGAGCCACGCTCACATGTTCCGCCGGTGGCATTGTTTACCAGCCAGCCTCCGCGGTAACATCCAAGCATACAATCGGAATATTTCGTATTATTACAGTGTTTTCGGTGCTTTTTCTGTAAAATAAGTGACCATGGGCCCCAAGAAAGCTTCTAGTGCCAACCCTACAGCAATAAGGGTGAGAATTACAATAGAGATGAAGAAA